TCCTTGGACTTCCCACAGGGCAGGGAACCCTGATTGCTCTTTGGGCTGACGAGGGAGGGGGACTTAATTGCGGGAGGGGGAGGGAAAGGGGAGGCGGCTGGGGGGAAGAGACAGAAATCTTTAAGAAAGAAAGGAAGAAAGAAAGAAAGAAAGAAAGAAAGAAAGAAAGAAAGAAAGAAAGAAAGAAAGAAAGAAAGAATAAATAAACATGGTCAGGAAATACACATATGTGAACACTATATACATTCACTGACACGGCCTTGTATAGGACTGCATGTAGATGAGCATACACATGTACACCAATATGTGACTGCACTTGGGAATTGTACACATATGAACACTACATATGCACCCACATGCAACCACAGGGGACTCCACATATGTGAACATTTGCATATGCACCAACCTATTCCAATGATCAGGAACAGTACACATGTGACACATGTGAACACGCACATACGCACTAGCATATGACCACTCATGCTCAGAACTACACAAGTGACCACATGCATATGTACCAACATATGCCAGGACTTGGGATTTTCATGCATGTGAATACACCATGTGCCAACATACGACCTTGCTCAGGAACTGCCAGTGTGTAACCACGCACATACACCACCATGTGGCCATGCTTGGGAACTGCACTTGTGTGGACACAATCATGCACTGGCATCTTACTGTACTCACAAAGTGTATAGGGGTGAATAGCACGTATGTGTTAACATGTAATAAGTAACACCTAGGACTGCCTGCATGTGAACACTCACAATATGACCCAACATATTCCCACCATCCAGAACTGCACACAACACGCTGGGCATGGTGGCACACACTTTTATTCCCAGCACTCAGGAGGCAGAAGTAGGCAGATATCTAAGTTCTAAGCCAGCATGGGCTACAGAGCAAGCTCCAGGACAGCCAGAACTACGCAGAGAAACCCTGTCTCAAACAAACAAAACCAAAAAAAAAAAAACCCAACTGCACACAAGTGAACATGTGTATACACACTAATATATTTGAGAACTACATGAACGTGAACATGTACATAAATATTGACATATGACCACATATGGAATTGTACACAGGTAAACAAACATATATCACAAACATGACTATGCTAGGAAAAGTATATGCATGTGCTGGCATGATCATGTTCAGCAAATGCACATGTGAACACATGATTATGTACCAACATGTGACCACACTTGTAACTTGCATGTATGTGAGCATGCAAATATGTGCTGATATGTAACACACTGGGAACTGCCCACAAGTGAATGTAAGCACATGCATGTGATTCATCTGAGAACTTAATGCTTGTAAATACACAGATTTGCAGACATGTGACCACACTCAGAACTGCACATGTGGAAACATGCACATAAGCACCGTGTGATGCCTTTTGGGAGTTACATACCTGTCAATATGTGCATATGAGCCAGCATGTGCTCACTCTCAGAACTTTGTATACATGTTAAAATGTGTGTCAGCATGCACATATGTGCCAATGTGATCAGGATCAGAACTTCCACAGACATCAAAATGCTCATACATGATGGTATGTGACCATGCTTAGAGTAGCATGCATATAAACACATTTACAAGATATGTGTCTACTCAAAATGCACACATGTGAATATATATATATATATATATATGTTCTGACATGTGACCTCCCTCAGAACCACATGTCAGTACACACATATGCACCAGCATATGTTTGCTCTTGGCACTTGGCATCTGTGTAAAAAGTGCATATAGTGATATGTTACTATACTTGGACACCTATCAAAACACACATGAAAAGGCTCTGGATTCAATCCCCAGTGCCACAGTAGCATGCACATACACTATACACATATGCACACACATGAAAAGTAAAAAGAATTTATGACATGGGACTGAAAAAACAACACACATGTGCTAACGTGAAGAATATGCCAAGGAAATAAGTGGAAAGAGAAATACAATGTATTCAAATACGGGTTTTGGTTTTGTTTGTCGTGCCAGGGACTGAGTCTAGGGTTTCATGCATGCTAAGCATGCAATCTAGCATTAGCCACAACCCAAATCCTTCAAATCAATATATTTTATATTGCCAACAGTTCAGGATCCAATGAAAAATGTGTTAAATATAGGAAGAAAACAGCACAAAATGAAAACAAGATCTTTTGGTCCACTAGCCATGATCAAAAAATAGTCCAAAGGCAACTGATGTATCATGGTTGAGCAGTAACTTCTGTGTGGCACCAAACATGGAACAGCTCTGTGAGACTCAATCCTATCCCCCCACAGAGAAGTAAGTCTTAGCATAGCTTTCAATCATGACTAAGAAGACAGCAGTGGGAAGCCAATACCTTTCAGTTAGAAGACAGTCGAGTACTATTGATTAATAATCTCCAGAGCGAGTGGAGGTGTAAATCAAGTAATCTCAGTGAAGAAACTTGTGGACTCTCTACCCTGCAGAGGTGACAAAGATGATCCAAATGAAGAAAGCCTAAAATAACAAGAACATAGCTGTAATTCTGACGAAGCTTAAATACACACAGAGTACTGGTCCAGTAAAACAAAAGTACTTCGACATAAAAGAAAACAAAAAGGCTTCTGGGTGGCCAGGAGAATTCTTATAGCATCAAATTTGTTTCAGCTCATTAATCAGGTATCAATACGAGCACTATTCCTGCCACTTGGCCCTATTAAAAGTATCCAATATTAATTTAATAAGTACACACCTATTTGTGTGTTTACTGTCTTTCCAGTTGCTATCAAATCCGGAAGGTCAACTAAACTGACAGCACAGGGATACAAAAGGATTAGTTTCCAAATCTTAATGAAATTTGGAAATTCTACATTCATTTTCACATGCTGTACACATGCTAACTTTCTGGGCTGGCTGACCAGTCAAAAGAGGCTCCTGTTGGTCCCCCTCACCTTGGTAATTCAGAGTTCCATGAGCTGTGAGCTGAGGAACCATGAGAGAGGAAGCCACAGACAGGGAGCCAGTACACAGCAGTATCTTCATCGCCCCAGCAGCTAAGAGCATGTGCTACTTCATCCTGCATTTCTCCCAGGCATTCAAGAACTGAAGACCTACACAAACTAGGAGGCAACCAAGACAACGAGGGTCATTGTTACTCGTTTCGGAATGTGTCAGTGTCTGAGTTACTGTTGTATTGCTGTAAAGAGATACCACAACCAAGGCAACCCCTTCAAAAGAAAGCATTAAACTGGGGGCTTGCTTACAGTTTCAGAGGGTTAGTCCATGATCATCCGGGCAGGAAGCAGACAGGCATGGCTCTGGAGCAGCGCTTGAGAGCTTTACATCCTGATCCACAGACAGAGAGGGTGAACAAGACTGGACCTGGCATAGGCTTTTGAAACTGCAAAGCCCACCCTTAGTGAAACACCTCCTCCAACAAAAGCCACACCTCCTAATGTTCCCCAAACAGTCCCATTGGCTGTGGACCAAGCATTTAAACATATGAGTCTATGGGGGCCACTCTCATTCAAACCACGCAGTTAGGAATCTGGTTCCTTCTGTTGATTTCTGAAGCATCGCCTCTATGTTCTCCTCCTCATTTCTGGGCTGTAGGGTCCAAT